TGTCAGGAAAACATGGTCTAAAGATGAAACCAAGAATATGACTTCAGAAACGAAGACTTCAGACACTCTTAAAGTGATGCCTCATAGACCTTTGGAAAACCCCAAAGGTTTTCTGAGGATCTTAAAGGTATGCCTCAAAACCTTCTCTGTTAAATTATAAAGCATCTAAGAATGTTAAGGGTAAAAGCCTCAAGGTAGACAAAGGCTCATCTTAAAGAGACTTGTGGATATAGTTTTGTGTAATGGAATGGATATAACTTGATGCATAAAAAGCCAACATTTTTTATATAATTATAAATTATATTAAACCATACCTGCTTAGACTTAAAGCCACAGAACCAATAAAAAAGAAAAATAAGTCTTTGGACACACAACTTTTTACTGGTAGAAAGCAAGCTCAGGAAGCTGTTCAATTGCAAACACAAACTTCTTTTTAGTTGGTGGAGAAAAGTTGCTTTACAAGGCAAAACTAAGAGCCCAAAGGGTGGGGCCAAGCTCCAGAAAGAACAATTCATAGGAAGCAGCCATGAGCCATAAATAAGGAATTGCCAACATATGCCCAGTTGGATTTCAAAATTGCTATGGGCCAGAAACTGTCCTCTCATTCTCTCTATTCTTGACTGAAAAGGTCTATTGCAATCATTATATTCTCATCTTAACATTGTGTCTTGGGGTGGGGGTGGGAGTGGGGCTAGATCATTTGTCTCTTTAGTTAAGTCATCAGGAAGAGACAAACCATGCCTAAGAAACAAATCCCAAGTAGTCTCATCTCCACTCAGATCTAAACTAGATTGTAAGATCCTTGACCTCAAACTTGAGTCTGATGCTATAATGAATCAGACTTATTGGTGAGTGCATTTTGTATGTGTAATGAATGTAAATAATTTGTGGCCAGAGAGCAGACTGTATTGATTTTAAAACAAGTCCACAAATTCTTTGATACTTCCCATCAAGAGGTTAGATCTATGCTCTTAGTGACTTACTTGTAACCTTTAAAAATCAGTAAAAGGGATGCTGTGGATAATTCAGCAAAGGTCATGTAGCTTCTACTTAGTTCTTTTGGGACATTCGCCTTTGGAGCTACTTCACCATGTAAGAAATCCAACCACCCTAAGGCCACCATGTTTTGAGCAAGCCCAGGTTATGTGTAAAGGCCACATATAAATGCTATGACCAACAGGCCCAGCTGACATTGCAAAAGATTGGCAGAACCACCACCAGACACTTAGTGAAGACTGGCCAGGTGATTCTGGTCTCTAGTTATCGAGTCACCCTTAATCATCAAGTCTCCCCAGCTGAGGGCCCTGACATCACTGATAAGAGACACTGTGCCCTTCCAAATTCGTGACCCACTGAAACTTTTAGCATATTAAATGGTTGCTTTATGCACTAAATTCCGGAGTTTGTTATGCCATGATAGTAACAAGAACAATATTATAAAGGAAGAATTTATATTTTCAGTTCTCAAACAAGAAAACCAGGATAAAGAGAGGTTAAGTAATTAACCAATGTCATAGAGAAGCAAAGCAAAAATTCTAAAACAAACTTATCCGATTCTAAAATCCATGTTTATAACTATAAAGTTGCATATTTCCCATATATAATCCCTGTCTCTTTGTCTTTTCTTAATACATCCCCTGTCAAGGATTATATGCTCACATTCATCTGCTTCTCTAAGACCAAATCATCATTCAGGGCCATATTCAATCCTATCTCCCCCATGAAGAACACACCTAGATTCCAACCATTAGCAAGTTCTCTCTCTTCAAAACTGTCTTTAACTTATTTTCTACAACTTTAATTTGACAATTATTGAATGCTAGTAACACTAATTCACAGTTAGTGAATTCATTGCTTTTCCAATGCACATTCCTTGCCTACCTTCTTGAATTATGTCCTTAGACAAGGGTTGAAAATCCAAACGTCTACAGAATGAAATCAGGAAATATACATGGACTAGATGCAAAAGTACAAAAGTGGTCTTGATTAAGCTGTACTGGGAAGCAAATGCCCCATGTAAATGGGTCAACCACACTCACCTTCAGCATGCATATATCACCCCCTGACATATGATGCTTTGTTTATTGTCACTGTATTCTCATTAAGATGTAAGTTTCTTGAGAGTAGAAACCTTGTCTACTTTGTTCACTTCTATATCAGCAGAGCTTAGAACAATACCTGACACTCAGTCAATAAATATCTGTTGAAGGAATAAATGAATTAATAAATGCTAACAAGCTGTAATGTGGGCCCAATAATCTTTCCATATTTTTCAAGAGAAGCCAGAAATAAATAATTTTATGTGCAATTTCCCAATTTCTAAATGTTGTCAGCTAATGATAAAAATGTGAAGCCATGTTAGGGATGGGTAAACAAAACACGTCTGCAGGCTTAGATTCAATCTGAAAGCTGCATTTGCAATCTCTATACTAGAGGGATCGTAGGCTGTTTTTTATCTTTCTAATTTCTTAAGATAGTGCCTTGTGGAGTGTAGATAACTTGATAAGCAAATAATGATGAGGCTTCAAATATGCACACTTGAGGCACTGCTACAATTCAGCTATGTATTATTAAGATGCCACTCAAGTTGCTCTCTCATGTCCTGAAGGAAACTGCTTCAGCTTCTGATCCACAATGACCTCCTGGACCTCACATAGCCATCCCACTTCCAAGATTTTAAAACTAAACTTCCACTCCTTCTAGCTGTTAAGGGTTGAGAAATGTCATTCCCATGGGCTCCCAGTAATAAAGAGGAAAGGCAGTGGAAAGAAAATAGATTGGATTTCCAAGGGGTGACAGAAAAAGAGAACTAGGTTTTAAACCATATTTCCACAGTTGATAAAGTAAGGGCTCCCACTGGCAATTTTGTTTTCCTTTTTACACTTCTTAGTATTTTTAGATTATGCAATCCAAAATTTTATTTCAGCTGACCTTTCAGTGTTCTCTAGTAGCATGTTTTATCTTTCCTACATAAAAATTATTAAGGAGGACTTTTTAAATGTTTACTAATTACTTAACTCTAATACAGAGTCACATTTAAATAATTAGAGTGTGTGGGTCATTTAAACATGGGTCACTTAGCAGCGAGCATAATTGTGAAGGGCTGAGAGCACTTTCAAGAAAACATACTTGGGAAAAACATTTCACCTGTGCCACTAGCTGACCCAAGGCAAGTCAATCATCATCTTTGGGAGACGTAAAAGGAAATTAGATGTCTTGATGTTCCTTTTCTGTGTGTGGTCCAATGTGTACAGCCTTTAAATATTCAGACATCACAAACATCAGAGGAATTCAACTTATCAAATGAATATAAGTCCAAGAGAGTAAAATGTCATCCAGCCCTCTGTAGCCAGCATTTAGAAGGTTATTTTGATGATTATGCAGATGAACTCACTGTATACAGTTCTTCAATAATGGCATGAATTTTGTATGCGGGCAGATTTTATTTTTTAAAATAGGCTCCACAGTGATTTAAATTGAAACTAACAGTGAGAAAAATTTATTTAGCCAAACCTATATTTCAAAATTTAGGTTGTTATAGAATTGTGAACTTCCTACAGAATAAAAATATAGATTTCTATTCACTTATTTTGTTATGTTCAAGCAACACTGAATATGATGGCCACTGGATGGGGAGAATCATTACTTGAGTTCATCTATAAACACACAGGTGACATGGTGAGACAGAGCTCCTAGGGCACAGGGTGGAAAAGCCTAAAATTTGAAATCAGACCAACAGAAGTTTCACTCGCCACTCCACCACCTACTTGGTTTGTAACCCTTGGAAAATTACTTAATTTCTTTAAGCCTCAATTTACTCATTTGGAAAAATGGAATCATAATACCTTGCTTTAGGATTTATATGAAAATTAAAACAAATGTGTATTTAGAGTGTAAGTCACTGAAATGAGGAGGAAGTTGTTAACTCAGCATGGCTGACCTGGTCTCAGTAATTGAATGCAGTAAGATGCAAAAAATGCCTAGAACACTATGGTGTCCCAAACAGTAATGTCATAGAGAGTCCAATTGATTCTTATGATAAATATAATACAGACAGTAATTCCCTAGGCTTACTATATACTACCCTTCCTTGTGAACATATTTTTATACATTTTGGTGCTATGAGCTAAAAGAAGCTTGATACCATACAAAAACTCTAGCACACTGGCAGAACTTATATACGAAAATGTTCACTGGAGCATTGCTGTTAGTCACTGAAAATCAGAAATCTTAGAATGTTCATCTATAAGAAAATGACAAATTTTGATGTATTTATTCAACCATTCTATTCAGATAAACCACAAAAACATAATCTTAAGCAAAAACTAAAATGAAATGAAACTAAGCTGCAGAAGGATGCCTATAATAATAAACCACTTGTATGATATGTTAAAGCTTGACATGTATTGTAAATGGATATATACATACTTAATAATTACATAGTAATATACATGAATAGGGCAAACACCAAATTCAGTAGAGTGATTATCTCTAAGGAAGGAAGCAAGAGATGAGATCAGGTAGGGGCGCAGGGAGAGCTTCAACTCCATCCAATATGCCTTACTTCTTCAAAAATGTATTAGACTGAAGCAAAGACAGTAAATGTTTAGATTCTATAGAGCTCGCTCGTGGGTATACGGAGCATATTATGTTACTCTCCACATTTTCTGTATATTTGAAATGTTTCACAATAAAAAGAAGCAGCTTTCCCAGTCATACAAATATTTCCCAAACAAAGAGCCGAGTATGGAGAGACAGGAGACGAAGAGGGCCCGGGATGACAGGGGAAGGGGGGAGCAGAGCCTAAGCGGGCTGGGTAGAGCAGAGACATTCCTCTCCTACTCTGAGATGGGAAAGATCATTTTTCTCCCATGGGTTAAGGAAAGAATTCAGCCATATAAATGTGAAGAGAATAGGAGTAATTCATTGTTAATCCAGAAATCAGATTACTTTACAGAGCGTACATACTCCAAAGACATCATTAAGTTTAAAATACTTACTACAACACCGCTCTTGGTGATAGTTTCTCTGTATGTGAAGTTGCAGATAGCCCAGGCTAAGTAATATGTGGACATGAGAGGGGTCTGTGAAAAGTGATCCGTAACCCATCCATCTTCCTCAAACACAGATGTTTCCACAGGCATGTTAGATAAAGATAAGTAGGTTGCTTGATGCTTGATGCTGATTTTAAACGTTGCCTTGTAGATGGGCTCATCAAAACAAGGAAATGCCTTTCTGGCATGTGTAGGAGAAAACTGAGTAACACCAAGGAATCTGGAAAAAAGAAAATGACATTCCCAATTACACTTAGGGCTTGAGTTATGACCACATTTCATGCTTCTACTGATATACTTTTGCCCAATTGCAAGATACTTTTCTGAACCAAACTTAAGTTCATTAAAACACAATACACATATTTCCCCAACAATAAAAGTTCCTTGGGGAAGTTTTTTGTCTCAAAGTAAATTCTCTATACCCAAAGCAGTACCTGTTAGACAAAACATCATAGTCTGCAGAAAAACAACTCATTGGCATCACACTGGCAAACACTGGAAAATAATAATCCTCTTTTTTGGCATGCCTCCCTCTCCTCCATGAAGCTATACAACATTGAAAGTCAGTGAAACTAAAATCCAGAAGTTGTCATCAGATACATATAGGACATAGACCTTCACTGGGAAACATCTGTGCCCTCAAATTTCATCAAGACATGACCTGATTTTATTAAGAAACCTGACAGAACTTGGTCTGAACTCTGACTCTACAACCTTCTAAGCCATATCATGCTGTAACAATTACTAAATTTCCCTAAGGTGCAGTTGTTCATTCCTTAAAATAAAATAATCTTGCTCGACTCGGAAAGGAAGCTTTTGTAAAGCTTGGCAGGGGC